CAGATGGAAAACAATTAACAGCAGGCCTTTCTGTTTAGAACCCACAGCTGCAATATTTTTTATTCTCACAGAGGGCGCCAGAGGTTTGCGTGTCGACAGCGAATTGTTTGCAAATTATTAGTAAATCTCATTTTTTCAATGTTTGTGTGCAGAAAATATACTCAATAAAATTTACATGATAAAACTATGCCTTAACAATTTTTTTAAAATTTAGTTTTTTTGCAACTGTAGTATTTACAAATATTTTTTTAATTAAAAAATAGTTGTATTTTTAAAAAAATTTTAGTCAAAATCATACATTTAAAAAATACTAGTTTTTCTAAAACTTTTTTTACAGTTTATAGACAACCACAATTAAAAAATGAGTTTTTATTGTTTGCATTGACCCTATCACTTTTTAAACAAAAATATTGTAAAACTTATTAAAAAAATATTTTTTAAATTACACTAAATATTGATATGTACTTTTATCATTTTGAACTCGTTTATGATTTTGCCTAATAAACAAAATATTTGCAAAATTAGCAAAAAACTTACAGCGTAGTTTTTATCTGTGAAGTTTGCATTTGCAAATTTTATTGATAATCAATAAAAATTGTTTTAATTATAGATACAGTGAAAAAAATATTAAGCAAAATCCAAAAAGTTAAAAACCACGTTTCTAATGATTTAAAATTAAAACAACATTTTTTACAAGTCATTATTTTGATAATGATTAAAAATGGAAAGTTTTATTCTGTTATTGGCAATTTTATTATGCATAAACTTTCCATTTACTGTTTACGCCAAAATTGAAAACTTTGAAAAAAAGTAAGTTAAAGTTGACTGTTTTTTAATTTTTTGTTTTATTGTTATTTTTTTGTTTTAGCATTGTTTCCTTTCAAAAACATCCTTACTGGCCAATGATTCAGGTTCCTCAACAAACAAAAAAATGGCCAGACAACCAATTTGGTTCACATGTTAATGGGCGACAGAATCGGCAACCATTCCAAGCAGCAGAAACAACTTTAGCGAACACTCACAGTTTACGGTATACAACTAATTTTAAATTTTTGTTAATAAAAATTTGGTTTATTTATTTATAAACTGACAAACTGTGAATGTTGTTTAATTTCAAACAATTATTTGCAGTTATTTAATTTTAATAATTTAACTAGACACACTATTTTATTTTAAAATTATTGTTTTTCATTATAATTTTTCTAGTGTAATTGATGGAACTCCTGCACCTTGGGGAAAATATCCTCAATTAGTAGCTCTTCAAGTATCAACATTTCCTTGTAGTTTTTCGTTTTTCTTTATTCCCCTTACTGTTCAAACATTTTGTGGAGGTACAATTCTAACCGAGAGTAAAATTCTCACTGCGGCACATTGCGTGTTCTCAATAAAGCCATCAATAATAAGTGTTTTGGTGGGAGGAAATCATATTCAAGATATGCGAAGGTGCTATCCTGTTCAAAAAGTACAAGTTCACCCAAAGTTTGACCGTTCGATAATGCTACATGACATTGCAACACTCACATTGAAAAGTCCTATAAATTTTCAATCCTTAGGCAAATATATGGTAAGTTTATCATTTTATCTAAAAAATCTTATAATTTTTTCACACTTGTTTTTAATTAATGTTTAGGCTCAAAAAACACTTTTGCCTAAACCTAATAGCATTCCTGAACTTAACAAATGTGTTGTAGTTGGATTTGGTGAAACGCGTTCTGAAAAATCAAGCCTGGAACTATTAGAGAAGAATGTTGTAGCGGTAAAAAGAATTCTTGATTCTACAGCTCCTTCCGTTTTTTTCATTAAAACGCCTTCTGGTTGCCATGGTGATTCAGGTATTTTTATCATATCATTTTTTCTATCTTTTTTATTTATTTTTTAATAGGTGGCCCGTTATTATGCCCAGTTGTTGGTCACAATGAAAAGACGCTTGTTCAATTTGGAGTTTTGAGTCATTCTATTCAAGGAGAATGTTCAGATGCAGTTATCATGGACACACAATCTTTTTTAGATTGGATTGAAGAAGAAGCTAAAGAAAAAGTTATTCACGAGTTTAAACATGATGAAGTTAAACGAAACAGCTACACTTTCAGCAAACCTTTCAACCGCAATTTCGAAAACTGCGTTTGTTACTTTTAAATAAATTTGCAAAAAAAGCATAAACTCAGTTTAGTCAATGTACTTTTAAACTTATGTATTTTTTAAATTTTGAATTCACTGTAGTGCACGAGTCCCTTGTAAAGTGGATAAAGTTCGGGCGGTCAGGGATGTGTACACTAACGGGTGTGTCTGAGCTTTTATGGCGGATGCCTTTATTAGAACTGAGACAAGAAGGGCGTACAGAGCAATGAGAGAGAGCAGAGAGTGAGGTGCCGATCCGGCTGGAGAGAGATGGTGAAGTGTCTGAGGTGACTGCCCATCGAGTGGCGAACTGCCAGTCGGTTAAATAGTGGGCAGACAGATCAGCGATGTGATCAGCTGGTGAATCAACGATGAACTGCAAAGCCAATGCGAGCAGGAAGCATGGTGATAGTGACGACGGAAGTGACGCTAGTTACCAGGCGATGTCACGTTGGTGGGCTGCGCTTCAGTGCTGCGGATATTCAACTAGCAGTGCGCAAAAAGTGAAGCTGCTGGCTTGTTTGTGCAAAAAAAGTGCGGCAAATGTTATGTCTGAATTGCTGTTGTAGAGAGCTGAAGAATGTGGGCAATGTGCATTGGACACATGAGGCAGCTTGATGCGTTTCTTGGTGATGACGACGAATAGGCGACTGTCCGGAAGGTCAGCCAGTGACGGAACAGGGAAGAAAAAGCATTTGTAGGGGCTGGCGTCCCAGCCACAGCATAAATTCGGTTTTTACTTGATATTTCTTTTTTTTAAAATTTAACTTTTTTTAATTTTGTTAAAACTAAAGTTATGTTTTTGGTTTAATTTGAAAAACAACAAATAAAATAGAATTAAAAAATTATTTTTATATTTAAATTAGATTGCAAAGCAAAGTTAAAAACTGTTTGTAAAACCATAACATAAACAAAATTTTTTTATTTTAATATGAATTCTTTGTTTTAATCAAAAGTTTTAATTTGTTAAGTTAACTAAACGGCGGTTCAGCCTGCCGACACTTGAGCACTACCAAAACCCGCACCCTTAGACCCCGCTTGTTTTGTTCACAAGGATATTGTCAGCAGGAGTTGGCAGTATTCATGTGTCGCCAGACCTCACCGCTTTAACGGTGCCCTGCAAACATTTTTCCAATTTTGAGAAAACATCGCAGCCAGGCGTTATATGGTCACTGACAGAATCCACCGCCCAGACTTTGATCGTTTTTGTCAGTTCTTTTTTCTCTTCAGGGCCTTCATCGACAAACGTTAACACTGGCAAAGTCAAGTCATACTTTGCAATTTTTAGCTGTGCAGCGCTAGAATCGTGAAATTATTTTACTTGTCGATATCTGACGTAACTTGGTCAATGTCAACAAAATTACACGACAATGCCTAGACACTTTAAAATTCCGCTGTTTCAAATTTTTTGAGCAAAAACAAAGAAAACCAAAGTTTACAGTGTCCAAATGGTGCCAGATCTTGCCGTTTTTAGTCATGCATTGCTAAGATCTTGCAATTACTTTACTGCAGATTTCTGACGTGACTTGACCACTGTTCACTTCCGTCTTCTTGGGCAATGCTCGTTTCGCTTGCAAGTCCTTTGTAGACAAAAATTGACAGTGGACAAGTTACGTTAGATTTTGAGGCCTTTAGGTGTGCACAATGAAGAACGCATATAAGATTACTGTGTTAGGTTTACACTTTATTTGTAAACAAAACATTTGGTAATATCGTCCTAATATCGTGGTCCCTTTTTTGCAAATATATTTAAACATTTAAAAAAGCAATTTTGATGCAAAAATGTTACTTTCATTGTAAACAGACTTTGTTACTAGTTTTACTATGTTTCTATTGGTCAACATCAAAAAGTTAAAATAGACAGATTTTTCTATGCTCCCTACTCAGTAGGGCCCGCCTTGTTCAAAAAGTTGACGCAAAGAAAAAGAACAACATGTTTGTCAACACAATAAAAACAGTAACTTTTTGAAATAACAACTAAAATGGACGCTGCTAAAATGCTTACTGAAAACAAAAATTGTTTTTACTTAGCATTTACAAAACCCGCTAAACTTTTCTCTATAAAACTATCTTTTCTGTAAAACTGAATTTTTAAAATGAGTCAACTAACTTATTTGATTTTAACTGCATTTTTACCGTCGTTTAGTTTTACTAATACTGTAACCACCATTGATTTTGCCAACCAGCAGCATTTGCTTAACATTGCTCGTGCCAATGATGCTTTTACATACCGGTTGTTACATCAACTTGAGTTAATGGAACGTTTTCAACATGAAAATAACAATGATGAACCAAAAAATTTGTTGGTGTCTCCATTTAGTTTGAGCACTGTTCTTACAATGGCTTTGGTTGGAGCCAAAGGAAACACAGCCGAGGAAATGACAAGAGCACTTGGGTGATTATTTTAAAAACATTTTTTAAGTTTTACATTAACCCAAAATATTACTATTTTCAGATTTGACGAAAAATTATCCAAAACTCAATTAATTAATTCATACAGAACTTTACTTCAAAATTTTAGCTCTTCAACTAATTTCAGCACAATAGTCCAATTATCAAATGCTGTTGCCCTAACAAGTCAATTTTCACTTTTGCCCACTTATCACAACATTATACAAAACAAGTTCAATGCTACTGTTTTTACCTCTAACAATGACACTGATTTCAAAAACAAAAAAGAAGAAATCAACAAATGGATTAATGAAAAAACGGTTGGAAAAATGGCAGACTTGTTTGGAGAAAAATGTCTAAAATATGATAATGAGATGATCCTTTTAAATTCAATGTATTTTAAAGGCGCATGGAAAAACCGTTTCATTCATGGTTTGGAAAAAAAGTTTACTTATAGCTCAAGAAAAAGCTCAACCAAAAGCAGCATTTATATGATGCGCATGAATGCTGAAATCAAGTACGCCGCTTTGAATGAAGGTGAATTAGTGGAGTTGCCCTACAAAGGGGAATCACAAAGCATGTTACTTTTTCTTCCAAACGAAAACTTTGATTACTCATCATCATCTATCAGTTTAGCTTTTTCCCAAGCATTAAAACAGCAAAGCTTTTTTACCCGTATTTTCACCTATTTTAACTTGTTTTCTGAAAACAAGTATTCATTTGACTTTGACCGATTGCGTTTTAAGGAATTTAGATTGTACTTGCCAGCTTTTCAAATCAAATCAAATCTTCAACTAAAACCTATCTTACAATTAATGGGAATAAAAACAGCTTTTGAAGATATTGCCGATTTTAGTCAAATGACAGGTCAGCAAAAATTACGCATTTCACAAGTTCTGCAAAAATCATATATTAAAGTAAACGCAGAAGGATCAGAAGCAGCAGCAACCAGCGCTGTAATGATTACACCTTTTTCAGCCATTCCAAGAAGCAATTTTGATGTAGTTTTTAATCGACCTTTTTTATTTCTCATTCGAGATAATCGTTTTCAATTAACTCTTTTTGCTGGCATTGTTAATAAACCCGAAAAAGATTTTTAAAAATAAAATAAACTTAACACTTAACATTGACAGATTAAATTTTGACTCAAAGTGGTTTGTGAAAACCAGACATTGTTTGAGTTTAAGAGCAGAACGAGAAGTGTTTTTTATTACAAAATTGGATAATTGTACTTGTTATTAAATCCAAGTAAATTGTGATGACGCTCCAATCGTCCATATCCATGCTCACCCCATGCTAAAAAAAGAAATGTTTAGAATTGATTTTTGTTTCAAACAGTCAATGTGACAAAAAGAAACTTACTTTTTCCCCAACTATTGCGAATAATCCAGTAGTCGACTCCACTCGAGTCGGTTCCGTAGCCGACGACGACGACAATGTGATTTGTGTACGCCGAGTTTGGCATCACATTGCGCATGATGCCGCCCTTGTAGAAACGAAAGGTGTCACTAGTGCCGTGTATGTCCACCGTTCCAGGACCATAGGTAACCAACATTGCCATGATTGCCTCATCAGTGTCATTGTACGCCAGGCGTCCGTAGTTGCTGATGTAGTACTTGACCGGATGACCCTTGTCGTGAGCCACTTTGTCGGCATAGCAAACCTCGTTGAACTGATAAAACAAAACATTTAAGTTTTACAGCGTTTTTAGCTTAAAATAAAAAGCATTAAGAGTAATAACCGTTTCCGTATAGTGGTACAGCTTATCCTCGTACACTCCATGATCCATGATGTACTTGTAAGCCTCAGTCGGCCAGCCACCTTTGCATCCATAGTTGAGGTAGTGCTGATCAAAAGTTCTATTGGTACAGTCCACCAGCTCTTGACGTGACAGGTGCAGGTTGTGCTTGTTTTTTTGATGAGCATAAGCTGCTTCAACGGTAGTGGCAGCTGCAAAAGCCCAACAAGAAGAGCAGCGACCCTGTTGTTCTATACTATTGAACGCAATGATATTCCGCCAATCCCATGACTTAGGAAATGGACTGGTATTAACAGTAGAGGTCGGCCTTGCAGAGACAAAAACAGAACTTGGAGATTTAGAGTTTAGTGAGAAAAATTCTTCATCAGACTAAAAGTAAAATTAGTTTTTTTGAACTTGTGAAAATTAAAAACAAAGTTTTACCCAATCAGACATGTCATTAAGGCCAAGTGTAACTCCATTTTTTCCATTGTTTTTGACAATTTTGGTCAATGAGTTGAAATAATTGTTTTTGCGAAAATTTTCTTCATTAATTGTTAAATAATTTTTACCAAACTTAACCTAAAACAATATTATTTGTAGTTTTAAATTTTTAAACAATTGTAATACTTTATATTGTTCCCAAGTTGGGACTTTTTCTAGATGTCTACATTGAATAAATGTAAAAAACAAAAACAAAATATAAAACAATAGCGCCATTATTTAGTTTACTACAACTAGTGTACTAATAATTGTAAATGCACATTTTTATGAATTTAATTGGTAGTTTTTTTAAACTTTTGATAAATAAAAACAAATTAACAATTTATAATAAACTTATCTGTTGATATTATGCCAAAAACTGTTTTGTACTTTTATAAATTTGATGAACTTGATAAACAAATTAAACAAAATATTTAGCTTAGTATTTTTATTATTTATTTTAAACAAATTTAAAACAAAATATTTTTTAAATGATTTAAAATGTATATGTTCAAATACAGCTATCAAAATATTTTAAAAATCTGACTAAATTAAGCGATCTAAAATTAGAAACATAACATGACATAACAGTTAATTTTTGCAAATAAAGCTTTTTCTATCAATTTGATCGCATGGAGATAGCTGAATGTGATAAATTTACACATGAATAGTTTTTCACAGTAAAGAATTGAAATTTAAAAAACCCATAATAAATTTAAAAAGATATTGTTAAGCAACAATTATTTGTAAACTAACTTATGCTTTAAGGGCTGATCATTTTGTGTAACTTTTTATTTTTTTTTTGTTTAACCAAACTAGACAAAACCGGTAAAAACAAATTTTTGAAGACTAAACTACACGAACAGTTGTAAATTAATTTTTTGCAATTAATTACTCAAACACACTGGTTAATCGTTAGTGATTTAGCAATCAGTGATTTTAGCAATTAAAAATTACAAGTGCAACTTTAAAGACCTGTTGTCACTAGGCACTAAAAACAAAAGTTTTTTAAAACAAAAAAAACAGCAAAAGTAATAAATGGATTTTTAGTCTAATTAGTTCTAACTAGAAAACTGATCTTGAGCAAAACTTTCAGTAGATAGTAGTTAGGTTGCTTACTTAGCCAACTGGTCAAACTTGCCAATGCACCTGTTTCTTGCCGTCTCTCTCTTTCCCTTTCACTCTTGTTCTTTTTCCTTCACTTTCTCTCTTTCATTCTTTCTCTTCATATTTTTCAGTTTTCCCTCTTGGTGGGCAACATAATCCGACACTCACAGTTCTGCATGTCAGCCTGCTCAATCTTGCTATTATATCCCATGAACGTCAATGAATCACTGGCGAAAAAGGGGGAAAAAGATAGGTGCCCATTTTCCCTCTTTCAACAATCACTCTCATGTTCCCTCTTAATTTTTTGCTTAACAGCGAATGACAGTATCAGTCTAGACGCTAATGTTGCCTCGTGCCTTTTGCTGTTGCTGCCTGCTAACTTTTTTTGTTTTTGAAAACAAGTCAGACCTCGGTTGCACCAGAAAATCGTTGTCAGTTGTCGAGGCTAACATCTTGCGAAACATCGCAATTTTAACTTTTTTTCTTTAAAACCAGTGCAATGCTAGTGCACTTTTTTTGTTTGATCTTCCTTTCAACTTTTTTTTGTTTGTTTTTATTCTTTATCTTTCAACTGACTGTATAAATTTATTACTAATGAAAATCCTTTTGATTTTTTTGAATATTTTTTTGTTTTTGTTTGTTTTTCGATGCTTGTACAGCAGTCCTGTAAAAACAGTCTTCCCTTGACAGCAGATTGCCACTAGGATTGACTTAATTTATGTGGTGAAAGTTGAACCTCGCTGTTTGTGTCGTGCCGTGGCGTTCTCCTCAACCCATGATCTACCAAATTAGCGTTTGTCTGCGGTTGGTGTCATTGTCATCAGTGTCAGCGAGTGAGTGTGTGTGTGTGTGTTTCACTACCTCCACTTTCACTGATTTAGTTTGCACATTCCGTTTCTAGTCGCAGTCATTGTGCCAACCCCCCAGCTGCAACTATTGCTCCTCAGCAAACCCTTCAACCCTGCTGGTGAAAAACCTTTAAAAAGGCCAATCAGCGTCGTCGAAACACACATCCACTACTTGAACCAGATTGCTTCACACACACACACACAACTCAAAGTCAGTCAGTGTCTCCTCTTGCAAAGACAAAAAAGCAAAATATACGTTTGTCATATTTTGTTGACTTTGCAACAATTGACATTGCGACCCCCTTGCAAGATCGTTTTCAGTACTGTTATCTGCCGCCGCTTACCCCGTCCCTGTCGATAAAGATGTTGTACCTTTGTAGGCAAACAGTGCAATCAGTGCCTTGCACTCTGCGTCACTTCGGCTTGTCTTTGGTGAAATTCGCCTCTGTCAGCGGTGTTCACACTGCGAATGGCGCCGTCGGCAAGCCCATCATCGCCACCTCGATCCACCCGGGCACCACCATCAACACCGTCGCCAGTGCAACTGCTGTCCTGTGTCCTCTAGGCCATAAAAAAGAAGAAGAAGAGATTTCGACGACGATGACGCCTAAACCGTTCAAGACAATGCCCGGTCCTAATCCGCTTCCCTTCATTTGGAACATCTGGCGCTACTTGCCCTTCATTGGTGAGAAAAACTTTGTTGTTGACTGCTTAGAAAAAATTTAGCTGTTATTGTTTACCGTTTTCTTTTATTGTTTACCGTTTTCTTTTATAAACTTGATCAGTGCTTATCAGTGCAACTGTTCAGACTGAGAAACACGTGTAGTTGTTTAGTGATTTAGTAATTTGCCGCATGATAAAAATCAGCAGTGTACTGCGTGAAAGTCACACTTTTATCGGCTCGAGTTTCATATTTGCTTTTTTAAGCTTGATAAACTCTTCTGAACTACTATTACAAACATTAATAACAGGTTTTATCAGTTAGAGCCGTTCGCTACTTAGTTGTACCTTATTAACTAATCTTTTTTTCCGTTTTCCTGTCAAACACTAGGCCAGTACAGCCTGAAGAGGATGCACCTGAACGGGCGGCTGAACCTGGCCAAGTACGGGAAGATAGTTCGCGAGGAGATCACCGCCACCCATCGCATTGTCCACCTCTTCTCGCCAAAGGACATGAAGGAGCTCTTTGCTCAAGAGGGCCGCTACCCCTGTCGACGGTCACACCGGGCGCTGCTGCGGTACCGTGCCGAGCGACCGCACCTCTACGCCTCCGGGGGCATCTTCCCGGAGAATGGGCCCGAGTGGGCCCGCCTCCGGGACACCTTCAAGCGGCACTTTCTGCTGGCGCGCAACGTCAACGCCTACGACCGCCTGGTCAACGACATCACCGACGACCTGGTCGGCTACGTCCGCCGCACCCGCTCGGCGGACACCCTTGAAGTGGCCGACTTCCAGGAGGACCTGTACCGGTGGGCGCTGGAGAGCATCTGCAGCATCATGCTGGACGCCCGCATCGGCTGCCTGGGCGTCGACCTCTCCGAGGAGAGCGACCCCAGTCGGCTGATCAGGGCCGCCCACCAGACGATCCACGCGGTGATGAAGACGGAGCTGTACAGCAGCTGGCAGAGTAGGGACACCGCAGACTACCGGGAGCTGGTCCAGGGGCAGGACGTCATGGCGGAGATTGTCGGCAAACATCTCAAAACGCGCATCAGAGAGTTGGAGTCGGGTGTTGAGACGGATAAAAATGGCGACTCACTGCTGGCGCAGTTCATCCTCAACCCCGAGATCAACCGAAAGGACCTCTTTGCAATGATTCTCGACTGCGTGCTGGCGGGCATTGACACCACCTCCATCACGGCCAGCTTTGCGCTCTACTTTCTCGCCCGTCATCCGCAGTACCAGGAGAGGCTGCGTGAGGAGGTCTTTCAGGTGATGGAGAGGAACCACGTTGGCCAGCAGACTCCTCAGCAGATAACGGGTAAAAGAGCAAACAAGTCAAGTGTGCCTATTACTTTGAATTTGCTAATTGTTTTTAAATACTTTTTAATTGCAGCTGACCACCTGACTTCGATGCCCTGGTTGAAGGCCATTGTGAAGGAGACGCTGCGCCTTCGACCAGTGTCCATTGGCGTCGGCCGGCTGACGTCTACTCCGGTGGAGATCGGCGGCTACCAGGTGCCCTCCAACACGATGATCATCACGCAGAACCAGGTCAGTTGTCAGCAAGAGGAGTACTTTCCTCAGGCGGATTGTTTCAAGCCGGAACGGTGGATGGTGGACCGAAGTAAGGCAGCTCCCGCCACTGCTCAAGCTCAGGCTGCTGATAATCGGTACCTGTGGCTGCCATTCGGTCATGGAACTCGCATGTGCCTCGGCCGTCGCATCGCCGAGCTGGAGATGTACATTCTTCTCTGCAAGGTGGTGGCCAATTTTAAGGTGGAGTACCACCACGAGGACATTGGCGTCAAGACGATGCTCATCAACTTGCCTGATCGCCCGATGAAGTTCAAGTTTACTGATTTGTAGCTTTTCTTTTGCAATTTTAGTCTATTTAATAACGTTTACCAATTTTTATTTATATAAAGTTTGGATTTCTTAAAGTTCAGTGTGTTGTTTTATTATTTGTTCAAATAAAACGGGCATTTCTTACTAGTCACTAGTGGCACTCAACAGATGGCATTTCAATCAAAAGTTGCGTTTTATTTTTTGAGGCAAAAAAATAAAACTGGATGAAGCTGCAAACACTTTGTATCAATATTTTTGTTTTATCTGCAAAAAATAAGATAACCGGCGACGCACTTACTCGGTAGCAGCTCGTGCTGTTTGTATTTGAATTTCACTGATATCGCCCAGTGCACTATGTTTTATCGCGCAAACAAACCGACCAAAACTCAGTCAGTATCAGCTTCAAAACTGCCTGCTAATGAGTGACTTTAGTTTCTTCATTTGACAGATATCTCTAGTTATTATCTATTTATCAGTAAACTCTTTGCCTGTGTGCCAGTTACGCTTAGTAAACAGCACAAAACCGAGCAATGATAGCAATGACAACAACAACAATTATTCCCAAAGCATCTTTTAAGAACTCATTTGTAAATTCATTGTGTGACCATATAATTGTGTGGTAACTGGTTGAGATTTACAATCAAACTAAACCCAAAATTGAGACTAAAATTCCGCCTGCATCAACAATAATTGCATGCATGCGTGTGTGTATCAATATCTACCGCCCGAGTGAATGCCTCAGCATTTTTTTTCGGCAGATTCTTCTACTTTCTCTTCGCTCACTGACTGACTGACTTGGCAGACGGGCACGTCCTCTGCCTCGGCTTCGGCGGCACCAGGTCGGCCATTTCATGAAGCAGTATCTTCACAGAGGCTGGGGACACAGAGGGGCACAGACCTCAAAAGTAGCAGCAACAGCAGCAGCAGCAGCAGCCTTCGCACTGCTAGCCCCCGCCTCACAGGTGTCCGATCAATGGACCTTTTGCTTCCTTCCCTTCCCTTCTTCTTACTCTCACTCTTCCCACTTCTTTTGCTGTTCCTTCTTTCTGCATTGCCATACTGCTGGCCACTTCTCTCTCTCTCTCTCTCTCTCTCTCTCTCTCTCTCTCTCTCTCTCTCTCTCTTTTTCTCAGTGGCAGTGTCTGTGGCTGTGTGCCACCGCCGTGTCTCCGCCGCAACCGATGTCTTCTATTCTCAGTGCAGCAAACACCAACTAAAGCAGCAGCAACGTCTGTGGCTTGTGCGGCATCAGCAACAGCAGCAGCAGCACTTTTTCTACGAGCGCCACTTTTTCTGCCATTGGGCTGCAGCGGCCGTCTGCAGCTGTCTTTGAAGAAGGAGCACCTTTGAAGACTGTGTGTCTTCAAGCCAGCAGCAGACAACACACACTCACTCACTCACTCACTCACTTACTTACCTACACACAACACACATTCAGACAGACGGCGCCGCACGCTCATGCTGCCGGCACAGTGCTCTGGTACCAGCGCCCGAAACCAGCATGAGCACACAGCACTGTTCCAGAAAGGCAAACTGTTGCTGCGCACTAGTGACAGTTGATTCAACAGCGGCAACAATGACAACAACAGCAGCAGCACCAGTTTGACTTTCTTATTTTGTTTTCTTAACTGATGTTTTGTTTTTCAATTCAATTTGCATCATCTTCAACACCTAAACACTGTGCTTCCTCAGCAAACATTTTGTGCAACAGACAACAGTGATTATCTCCAAGCAAATTAAGCCATCTCATTCTCTTTCTTTTTTTGTTTTCGCATTCTCTACCCACCACCAACCTGATCTCAGCACTGAAAATGTCCAACTAACGCCACACCGATTGACAAAAGTTGCCGGTAACGAACGCTTTCTTTATTTAATTTGTCATTTATTTATTTCAACAGTTGAGTCACACACAGCCAATGTGACAAGAACAAGAGCAATTGTGAAAACAACAACAGAAATGAGTTGTTTTTGTCGTTAGTGAGTGTGTGTGTGTGTCTGGTGCTTTCCGCGTGCCTGACAGTACTTTGCCTGTTGACAGTGGCTGCCTGAATGTAGTGAGAGCATCCACCACCACCAAAGACAATCTTACCCAAGTGTCTGCTTTGTGTGTTTTGTGTCATGGTTAGCCGACTGCGAAGAACACTTGTGGTGCCCACCGTGCTCAGTGTTGTTCGCCCTGAAGAAGTCAACAAAGCGCGACTAATAGACTTATGACACTTTCCGGCCCTCATTACCGCAGTTTGGCGTAGGTGTCAATTTGCGCCGCACACTCAAATTTGTGTGTTCTCTTTTACTCCTTCTATTTCTTCCCCTTCTTCTTTTTTCTCTGCGACAGTTTTAATCACTCAATTACTAATCACTGGCAACTAATCAATGTGTCTCCGTGTTTGTGTGTTTCAATAAATGTGTTTGTCTGTCTGTATGTGTGTTTGCGTGTGCTGCAATTTCACTTTTACTCTTTAAGGCATGACATGGAGGCAGGCGGCGCTTTGTTCGCTTCAATGTGTTTTCTATGGGAATGTTTACAAAAACGCGGCTCAAAAATTCTCGGTCAATTCTAAAGCTAAAATTGGGATCTTAGTTTTAAATTAAAGATAACAATTAGTCAAAGGGAAACCTCAATCAGAATTGTAAGTTATGCCTCCAATCTTTTTTAATTGCGATGTGCGTAAAAAAATGCTCAAAATTTTAACTTTTTCTACACGCACATTGCAATTAAAAAAGATTGGGGGCATAACTTAAAATTCTGATTGAGGTTTCCCTCTGGTTTATCGTTATCTTCAATTTAAAACTAAGATTACAATTTTAATTTTAGAATTGACCGAGAATTTTTGAGCCGCGTTTTTGTAAGCATTTTCATAGAAAACACATTAAAGCGAACTCAGCGCCGCCGGCCTTTATGTCATGCCTTAAGGAGGGTTTTTTGTTTTACAAACAAGATCCACAAGTTTCAATCCGATTAAAAAGCAATTTTAATTTTATTCACAAATGTGGGATTTTCAATGATTAGTTATGATGATGACATAATCTAGGCATTTTAATGTGCAAACTACTATACTGATAACTGCTGGAGAAAGATTTTGGCAAAACTCGGTCAACTTTTTTTTTCACATTTGGCTTGTTATCTATACTGACCGTTTTTATGTTTTGTCATTTATTTTATCATTTTTAAAAAACTTCAAACTTATGTCAATCTAATTTTTAATTAGTAAGTATTTTTAAACTGTCAAAATGTCCATGCAGAAAATATTTGTTCAATTTTTAGCAAATAGCAGAATTTATAATATTTTATTAACTTGACATTTTAGCATTTGCAAAACGAATTTGCATGCAAAAGCAATTTGTTTAGAAATTATGCATAACTAATTTTGCAGTTATTACAGTCTAAACTCAAAATTTGTAAAATATTGTCAAAAAAAGCAGTTCAAGTGACCACTTCAAAGTTCATTCATATATTTATTTTTGCAAAATTGAAGACAGTTTCACACTTGCTTTGTATTTGAGTAAGGTAATAGGTTTCAAGTGATTTATTTTTTAAACCAACAAAACTACAACACATAACAAATGGCAATGTAAAATGTGTTTACGCAAAACGTTTCAAAACACTTTTTTTAATTTTTTACAAAACGGGATTGTTAGACAAACAATAATTAAACTTTGCCACTAAATTCTTTGTTAAAACAAACTGAAAAATCTAAATCAATTAAAAACAGCAACAATTTATGCTGTTAGTTTTTATGAATTTACAAAAAGAATGAATATTAAAAAAGTTCAGTTCAGTTAATCAGGTTGGCGATCTATACGCCCCTTACCATAATTTGGCACAAGTCAGTATCGGTAGATTTTTATTTGACATCTTCTTCTCCACCTCGTTAAAAAGACATTAATTTGTGAGACAACGGTGCTCGTTATCCGTCTTCTTTTGCAATACATGCACTGTTTCACGTTGAATTTGTCGTACATGTTTTGTCGAGTACTATTCCAAATGTTTTATCTAGTTTCTTTTTATTCATCTCCAGTTTGCTTTTACATTCGGCAGCAAACTTGTTTTGTTTCAGTCACCTCTTTCTGTTTTTGACGATGTCATTTGTTTGCTTACATCAACTCAAAGCAGCAGTAAATGATGTTGCTGCTGTCGTCGTTGTTGTTCTCCTGTCATGCAAACAATCTCTGCTTACATGTGCAAGCATGACATCTTCCTAACTTCCTTATTAGAAGGTACACTGCTTTTATTTTTGTTGTAAGTGAGACAATGTTTATCATTGATAGTATCATTTTGGAAAACTATCACATTTATTTTAACAAGAATATGTTTTTGAATTTTTTAAAACAAAAAATTGACAATAATTTGTAATTCAAACATCACAATCCAATTTTTTGCATTTTAGGTTTTGCTACAGACTGTCTGAGTTTAACTTTATATTTTTTGCGCACAGAATTAAAATCTAAAGTATTTTTACTGTACACAGATTTTTTTACAAATTGTTGTTTTTTCTATTTAAATTTAAATTTTTTTATATTTTTAAATTGTTGTTTGACAACGCATCCACAATGTTTAAATTAATTAACCGCATTAAAAACGCAAAAATACTTTAAAGTTTTAACATTGTTTGGCTATGAACTTTTGTTTGACAAACTTAAACAATATGCAGCATTTTAGTAAAAAAATTGACATTGATTGAGTGCATCAATTAATTAGTTTGTGAAAACGCCAGTAAAACCAAAATTTTATTATTTTTTGTTTAATTTTATAATTTAATTTCATTATTTTTTAATTACAGAAAATTTACTAAAGTTTTTTATAAACTTAAATAAAAGTTTGAAATATCAATACAACAATTCAAAATGGCGTACATTAACGTTGCTGAATGGACTGCATTCCATGTTGGCGATTGGTTAAAAGGTAAGTTTTGTTATATAATTTTTTGTTTTTAGCAATGATTCTCTAACCATACTTTAAAAATATTTAAAAAAAGTTACATAAAATTTTATAACTTTGTTTTAAAATTTTTGTGGCTAAA